CTGCACGAGTCAGCATGGCTCAGCTTCCTCCACCCCTGTCTTACCTGCTTTAGCAACCCCCAGAGAAGTTTATAACTGTCTTCATTTTTGTGATTCGAATTGCTGTTCTGCTTCAGTAAAATGCCTGCTTGAGAGGGCCATCGCTAGAGATAAAACCTGAGACCTGTCTAACCTGCCATAGAGGGAGCCAGGGTATCTGCATCTTGCAGTTGTGACTAACACGGAGCTGGTGGACGGCTCCTTTCCCAGCCCTGGGATTGTGCTGCATCTGGTACTTGCACAGGGAATCTCCCCTCATCATGTCTTTCTGTGATAGTGTTTGGAAGTCTCTCCCCTCCATGCTGCTGCCCTCACATATTCCCTGTTTTTCTGGAGGTCTTTTCTTCATTTGACTGGGGGAAACCTTCCCCTGAGGGCTGCTGCAAACCATGATTTGTCCCAATGCAGCACACATGCTTTTGAGCTCTCAACAGACCCCAACTATACTGGAAACAGTGGTGCTATTGTGGTCTGACAGTTGAGGGCCACACAGGAGCACACAGGCTTGGCTACCGGAATATTTGCAGCTCATGGAGATGTTGACTCCCTTCCTAGTTCTAAAAACTGGCTAAAGCTAGTAAATTCTGGCCCTGTTTTTGCTCTCAATATTAACACTACAATATATGGCTGTTACTTCCCCTTTGGTACCCGAGACTAACAAATGGCTGTTGGTCCTTTCCTGGCAGTTTCCCAGAGCTGGCTGGGAACCCTCAAGCTCTGCCATGCTGCTCCACCTTGTCTTCCTTACATTTCAGCATAATGAGAGAGCATGCACACTACTGCATGTCTCTAAGCAATACCCTTCTCCCTGCTATGGGTCTGGTAGGAGAGCAAAGCGGGGATACAGCCAGCCTCTGAGCTCTGGGGACAGATGGAAGATGCTGGAGGGGGGACAGCTGGGGGTGTTCAGAGGCCTGGACCCTGTTCCTACAGCTGGAGAGTGGATATTTAGATTCCATGCTGCTGGCAGGGTTGCAGGGGATAGGGAGCTAGCAGCTCACTGGGGAGACGCAGGGCTGCTCTCCTGCAATGCAGCAGTACCTGGCCACTCCTGCTTGCAAGTGGGTCTGCTCACCTTTGCCAGCTAGGCTGAACATCACCTTCACTCTCCCTGAGCTACCTGACTCAGGGAGAACAAGCTGCATCTTTCTCTGTCTCACTTAATTCACTAAATGGCAGCTCCAGACCTGCTACTCCTGGCACCTGAGAAAGCTTTTCTTTCTGATGCCAGGGTCAGCTAGCAGGTGGGATACGGTCTCCTCTGTGGCAGAGCTGAGCTGGAGTCAGAAGCAGCACCAAGCTGCTCACTGCTATTCCTACAGAGCAGCATTCCCCACCACCACCCCCGGCCCGAGACCTTAGCTCTTGCCCTGTGCCACTAACTGTTGTAGGTGATAAAAAGCAGCAGATACTGGGGCTTTCTGCTGGCCACACCTTCCTCTAGGGGAGGCACCTCCAAGGTCTCCTTCTCTGGGTGATCACAAATGTTTATTTTCCTGCAACCTCCTTCCCCTGCTAGACTTAGAGGGAGCCGAGGCGTATGAATGGAGCCTTTTGGATGGTCTCACCAATGCCACCCTGCCCTCGGCCACTGAGGAATCTGAGGGTCAGGGTGCACAGCTTCAGAAAAAAACTTCCTACATCAAGATGTTTTTAAATGGTGTATATTTTATATTAAATTTTTTGGGATGTATGTAAAAATATTTGATTTGTATTAAAACTTGTAAATTGTATAAAAAAAAAAACAAAACAGAAACAAACCCAGACCCCCATGCATCCAGTGTATGAACGGCAATAAACGATTGTCTTGGATAACACATACAGTGAGAATAGGAGGGAGTTTGCACCCAGCAAAGCAAGGAGATAAAAATGTGTATGGCTGCTTGGGTCATAGGATCCGAGTTACCTGGCTCACCTGTTGTAGGGACAAAGCCGGCACTTTTTCCCACTTTCTGCTCAGCTTCGGGGAAATCTGTCCAGCTCTGCATGCCTCTTCCCACAGAGTAACAGTCCGACTACCTCGCGGTCTTCTGGATCCCAGGCACAGCACACGTGGTTGTTCCCAGGCACTGCTTCGGTTGTGGCTGGTGGCATGGTTTGAAGCCCTCTGGATGAAAGGTCAGGGGTGAGCTGGAACAGGCACTGCAAGCACTGGAGAAAAGCAGCGTGGCAAAATGAGGAGGCCTGGGCTTCTTGTTCTGAGCAAAGCAGGACCTGGTGTCGCTGTGGCCGCTCTCTGATTGCCCAGGAGCATGGAGGAGTGCTTTGCCTGGCAGGCAGGGGTAGCTGTGGCTTCAGATGTGCCCAAAGCCGGGCAGTGGGGCACGGGAAGGTAGTGTTGGTCCCCAGCACTCTCACCACATGCCATGGTGGTAAGACTCAAACTGAACATTAACCTCGCTGGAGGTGACAGTGGGACTCTTACCAGGGGAGATTATCTGAGGAAACTCAGATCTTAAGCACTCAAGAGGCAGGATAAAGCTGATCCTCGATAAACTTCAGAGCAGGAGACAAGCTTGTGTGATTTGACACAAAAGAGACAACTAGGCAAAACTATCAAAAGGGTAAAATATGCCCCACTGTTTAATAGAATTTAGTCTTAATGGATGTTAGTGGAAAATAAAACACATGATTAACACAAACAGCAGATGGTTTAAAATCTGTTGTCAGTCTGGTGATTACACGGGCTATTTTTACCCCTCACTGTCTTGCTGCATGGAGCAGGTGCAGCCAGGGTCAGTTAGTCCCAGTTGCAGTGTACATAACTTACACACCGTACAGTAGCTTCAAAATAGAGATCTAGAGCTTAAAAAATAGGCATTCTATTGCAAAATCAAATGTTTCCCTTATTGACAATGAGAGCAGCGTGGTGCTGCCCTCAGGTGGCTCAGATAGCGACAGCTCCACCCCAGTGTCCTCTTATCCCTGACCCTAGAGTACAAGACTTGCAGTTCTGGTTAGTAAATATATATAATAAATCACATTTAAAATATATACATGGGCCTTTAAAAAACATTTACAGTTTATCAACATTGGAAAAAAAATAACTGGGCTTGTCCCAGGTTGACTTGTGAGAGTAAAAATCAGTTTTAAAAGGTTTCTGCAAACCTTTTGATAAAGTGCCACTGGTTGTAGCTATTTAAAAACAATTGGGTCCGCGACGTAGCACTTGCCTGTCAGACACGGTCATTTAAATACACTCAATGTGATGTATAAATCAGAGCAACTAACTAGCCAGGAGAGAAGTTGTCTTAACTGCCTCAAACTCCTCAAACTGCCTCAAACTGGGACCTCAAGTCCCAGCCAACAATATTTTTTTTTCAGGGCTTTTTTGTCTTTGTTTTTCAGCCTAGAAGCCAGGCAGGCACCTCCTGCCCGCCTGGCCTGTGGCACAACTGCTGCTCGTGAGCGGAGACCCTTGGGAATGTCCAGGCGGGCTCTGCTCGCAGGGGCTGCTCCCCTTCCCGTGCAAGGGGACGAGGGATTGCCAACGGTCCGATTCAGTTGCAAACTCCTGAAAGGATTGGGAAGCAACTGCCTCTTCAGCCACCTTCTTCCTTTCCAGTTTGGTTTTGCATTGGTGATTTTTTAAAAAAAGGGGGGATATATGGATTTTTTTTCCCCTTTGTTTGGAATTTTTGTAGCAAATGGCACTTTAGTACAATCCTAGGTTCCCTTCTGGTGCTCTGATGCTTTCATTTGCTTGGCATGCCGAGCGCAAGCCAAGTTTGGGGCTCTTGGACATATTTAGACATGCACTACTAAACAGATCCTGCTAGAGAAATCTGTCTTCAAGCTATGCAGCCGTTCCTACTGCTTGGATGCAATGAGCTATTGCTGCTGTTCCCCTGCTGCAGCCACAGGGCTGTGACCACATCCAGCCTGTATGCACAGTAGCTGTTGCTGAGCTGAATTCACCCAGTGCACGTGGGGTCATCTTTCCCGCTGGGTTTTAGCGCTGCAAGGAAGCATCTCGCAGAGTCCCAAACGCTGCTACTGTTTAACAACGCTCACAGCAGAGTTTGTGCCCGCAGCTCCCTGCAGGGAGGGGGAGTGAGAAAAGGGACCATTTTCTCCCCAAAGAAGGGATAGGGGAGGGGGGAAAAAAGAAAAAGCACTAACCACGCTGCTACTTCACCCCGGAAACACCGGGGTGGCCGTTTGCCTAGGCACAGTGTCGGCAGAGGGCAGCCTCCATTTAGCAGCATGATCCAGCTGGACTGGCACAAATGCACAGCCTTTCAGCACGGCCATCACCACCCTCATCGCTCTGGGGAAGGGGCAGGTAGACCTCCATGTCTGGCAGGGCCGTGGTGGAGCATCCGCTCCTGAGGGGTTTGTGGGTCCCACTGGAAAGATTTCAATCCACTTGGATTACACGCTGCCTGATGCTGACATTTGGAAAAGCAACAAATAAAGCAGAAAGGTTCCTTCTCACTCCGCAAGCTGCCAGATTGCGACAAGCCCAGTCTTCTTTTAGCTACTGTCAGGCCTTGCTGGGGCTGGGATCTGCTAGTAAATAGCCAGCTCAGTGGTGGCTGCCCGGGGAGGTCTCTCCTTTGACACATTGTTGGCAGGGGATAAATAGTAAGAGGCAGGACTCAGCAATGCAGCAGAGAAAGAGAAAGGTCCCTTGTGGAGGCTCCTCGGCTCTGTGCAAGGGACCGAGGGCTTCTACGTGGCCTACCACGACTGCATGTCCACCCCCTCTGGGCTCTCCTCCTGCTGCCAATCTGGTGGGAAACACCTGATCCCCTCGGAAACCAGCCTGCGGCCGCACTGACACATGTGATACGGAGCCGGGGGGAGCAAGGAGGGGCATCTGCATTCCCAGCCGCAGTGCAAAGTGCGGGAAGTGGAGTGACCTGAACGCACCGCTCGGGGCCGGATCTGCTCTCTCCCCATCATGAGGGGCACTGGCGGAGCAGCCGGAGGCAGGGAGGGGAAGGAGGGAGCAAGCCTCAGTCCAGCATCGCGTCTAGCTGGTCAGCCAGGTCATCGAACATGTTGCTGATGTCTTCCAGGATGTTCTTGGCCGAGTGCACAGCCCTGGGATGGCTGGGGAGGAAAGGGAGAGAGTCGGAACACCACCCAAACGCTTCAGGTGCTGACAGGGTAGGGTTGGCCAGGCTGGATCCGACCTTCCCAGTGGCAGCCGGAGCTCAGCACGCAGCCGGACTCGAGCATGTGTGACTTAGTGTGGCGTAGGCATGTGCCCATGCACAGCCCTTCACCTGCCCTTGCTGGGGGCTTCCCAATTCCACCTCGAGGGGCCCAACCAGAGTGTTTCCCTCTCCCCCAGCACTGCCTCACCTCTCTGCCTCCTCCACTGTGATCTTCTCGGCCGCCTGCAGCGTGACAGCCAGGGTGGAGTTGGTCTGCTCCAGCCGCTGCTGGGCCAGGGTGGCCCCCGGGGCAGCTGCCAAAGGCTTTGCCGACACCTTGCTGCCCGCTTCCAGCGTCAGTGAGCCGGCACCAGCCAGGGACCCGACCACATCCGGCACCACCTCGGCGGCTGTCCGGGGAGCAGTGTGGTGGGAA